CTGTGACTTCCCTTTAGGAACAGGCTAAATATATTTAATTTTCAAAGCAGAGAAGATGTAAGGAAAAATATTTGTTACGGAAAAGTACAAGTCGTCAAGCAGCACTCCCTCACCCACAAGGTAAGGCCATCCCCAGGGCCTGGGAATCTGCCTGCCCCTCCTGCCAATTTTTCATCCAGTACTTTCCGGAGTCCCAGATGGGACCATTTAGGTGGGCTCCTAGTTTTATCATTACATACTTATTTTGATGAGTATTAGAAAGAAATGCTATATAATTGAAATTAATTTTTTAAGTAGTAAAGCTTTACGCATTCAAAAACGTATTTGGCCGGGCACAGTGGCTCACGCCTGTAATCCCAGCACTTTGGGAGGCCGAGGCAGGCAGATTGCTTAGTCTTGGAGTTTGAGACCAGCCTGGGCAAAATAATGAGACCCCATTGCTACAAAAAAATTTAAACATGGCCGGGCATGATGGCTCATGCCTATAATCCCAGCACTTTGGGAGGCCAAGGCGGGCAGATCACCTGAGGTCAGAAGTTCAAGACCAGCCTGGCCGATGTGGTGAAACCCTATCTCTACTAAAAATACAAAAATTAGCTGTGTGTGGTGGCGGATGCCTGTAATCCCAGCTACTTGGGAGGCTGCGGCAGGAGAATCACTTGAACCCAGGAGGCGGAGGTTGCAGTCAGCCGAGATTGCACCATTGCACTCCAGCCTGGGCAACAGGAGCGAAACTCCATCTCAAAAAAAAAAAAAAAAAATTTAAACGTTACGTGCCACTACCTGTAGTCCCAGCGACTTGGGAGGCTAAGGTGGGAGGATCACCTGAGCCTGAGAGGCTGAGGTTGCAGTGAGCTGAAATCACGACACTGCACTTCAGCCTGGGCAACCAGACTGAGACCTTGTCTCAAAAAAAAAAAAAAAAAAAAGTTTTTAAATGAAATGTTTATGGAACCCCTGCAAGACCCAAGGAACACAGTTTGAAAATCACTGAAATAGCCTACCCTCCCTATCTTCTAGATGGGAGGACAGAGGCCAGAGAAAGGCCAGGATGCAACAGGGAGGCGTCCTAGCTCAGTGGTCAGAAGTACAGAGGGTGTCCTTTGTTCCTTGTCATTACAAAAGCGAATCAAAACCTGTGACTTCCCTTTAGGAACAGGCTAAATATATTTAATTTTCAAAGCAGAGAAGATGTAAGGAAAAATATTTGTTACGGAAAAGTACAAGTCGTTCTAGAATATGGCTAAACTATAAACAGTGGCTCGGGAGGGCAGAAAATTGAGCAGCACTTTCTAATCTACCATGTCCCTAAACCCAGCCTTAACCCATACTCCCCTGCTCTCCATTCCCTGCCTTCAGCCACTAGTCTCCCCACTTTTCAGCCAACATCACCTCCTCTGAGAGGCCCTCATATCCAGGTAGGTGGAATGAGGCCCCTCGGGTCCCACAATCCCACTCTGGTACTTGGCTGCCCCATGGTTTCCACCAAAATCCCACCAACTTCACCCTTCAAAGCTGAATGTACATGGAGCTTCCTCTCCCCATAACAGTGGCCTATGAGTGATACTCCAGGTCAAATATGTGACCCTGTCTCTCACAGTAGACACTACAGGGAGTCGGGGAGCTGTTAACACCCGGCCAGGCCTAGAAACCAGCAATTTGTAGATTTCATTGCAGAGGCTCCTCCAGTCAACTGGTAGTAGCTGCCTAAAATGTGATGTCAAGAAGGAGTCTAGCCAGGCATGGTGCTGCACACCTGTAGTCCCAGCTACTCAGGAGGCTGGGGTGGGAGGTTTGCTCAAACCTGGGAGTTTGAGGCTATGATTGCTCCTATTAATAGCCACTGCTCTCTAGCCTGGACAACATAGCAAGACTTTAAAAGAAAAAAAAAGAAGGATTCTGGGCCGAATGCAATGGCTCATACCTGTAATCCCAACACTTTGGGAGGCTGAGGCAGGAGAATCACTTGAGCCCGGGAGTTTGAGACCAGCCTGGCCAACACAGTGAAACCCTGGCTCTACTAAAAATATTTTTTAAAAAATAGCTGGGTGTGGTGGTGTGCACCTGTAGTCCCAGCTACTAGGGAGGCTGAGGCACAATAATTGCTTGAACCCAGGAGGCAGAGATTCCAGTGAGTTGAGATTGTACCCCTGTGCTCCAGCCCAGGTGACACAGTGAGACTCTATTCAAAAAAAAAAATAGTAATAATAAATAAATAAATTAGCCAGGCATGGTGGCGCACACCTGTGGTCCAGCTATACATGAGACTGAAGCAGGAGGATCACTTGAGTCCAGGAGGTCAAGGCTGCAGTGAGCTGTGATTGTACCACTGCACTCCAGCCTGGGCAACAGCAAGGCTGTCTCCAAAAAGAGAAAAGGACTCTGAAACTGAATCTAGGCCTGGCAATAAAACCTTATGATTGATTGTTAATGTCTACAAGGAGTGATTGTGCAGGGTGACAGCACATGTGCTATACATTTGCCATCTTTCTCCTCTACTAGGGGACTTAAAAATCCCAAGTCTAGGGCCTGGCGCAGTGGCTCACGCCTTTAATCTCAGCACTTTAGGAGGCCGAGGTGGGCAGATCACAAGGTCGGGAGTTGGAGGCCAGCCTGGCCAACATGGCAAAACCCCATCTCTACTAAAAATACAAAAATTAGCCAGGC